TGGGGAGATGGACATGGAGGAAGGCACTTGTGGTGAACACTGGGTGTTATATGGAAACCAACTTGACAATAAACTATTTGAAAAAAAAAAAAAAAAAAAAAAGATAAAATGCAGGTTATGATCCATTAGGTCTGGGATGGGACCTAAGATTCTGCATTTATTTCATTTATTTGTTTATTTAAAAATTTTAAACTTTTATTCGTTTTTTGAGAGACAGCGTGTGAGCAGGGGAGGGGCAGAGAGAGAGAAGGAGACACAGAATCCGAGGCAGACTCCAGGTTCTGAGCTGTCAGCACAGAGCCTGACGTGGGGCTCGAACTCACAGACTGTGAGATCAGGACCTGAGCCAAAATTGGATGCTTAACTGACTGAGCCACACAGGCACCCCAAGATTCTGCATTTCTAACAAGCTCCCAGAGGACATCCATACTGTTGGTTCATGAACTAGTTTGAAAACCAAGACCTATGTGATGGTAGCACTTGCAACAACTGTCTCCCAGGAAGAGTCTGTCAACATCCTCTGTCTGTCTTCCAGATGGCAATGAGAATCATATCTCATCCTTTTCTGATTCAGAAATCTCACTCCATGGCACAATACACAATACAAACCTGGCTCATAAATTCCCTTCAAATGCAAATACAAACATCCCTCACAAGAGTCTCATTCTTTCATGAGTCTCATTCTGTGTACCCTAGAATTACTGTCCCTTCTATTTATCAACTCATCCATGACTCTTATCTCCCATTTTGCTCCATAAGCATCCTCCTCCATGAAATATCTCTTGACCAATATCTCATTCTCAGTTTCTACCCATACCTTTCCCTCCAAAGTCAAGATGCCTCCATCTCTATACAATTACCAGTATCTCCTTATTTTAGTCTATTTTTCTTTCCATTTTGGATGTAAATTCTCTCTCCTCAAAGAATCTTAGATATTCTTATGGGGTATTTGTACTAGTCTTTAAAACAAAATGAAACAAACAAAGAAACAAATAAAAACATCTAAAGGAGTTGGTACCTATATGGGTAATCCTGCCAGTAGCAGGCTTCCCTGGAATCACCAATTCCTTACTGGAATTATGAGAAATTTCACAAGTAAGAAAGTAGCTTACTATGCCTCACTTGCCAGGCAGGCCTCAAACATAAATAAAATAGAAAAACGCTGGCTCTTCTATACCAACCATAAAACTTAGACTCATTTAACCAGTACTGCAGGTGTCATTTTGAAGCACTTGATTTTCAGTACACTTGGTGCATGGTAAGTGCTGGCTGTGCTGGTCTGAGGGAGAGGCTGCTGCATCAGCTCAGAGCCAGTACTGCCAGTAATGAGCAGCTGCCAGGTATAGAGGGGCGGGGGTGGTGTATGGGGGCCCTGCTTCCACTGGGGGTCTCTATGCTACTCACTAGCATCTCACGTTGTTGGTGTTGGGGGGAAAGTGGAGTCACACTATTCTGTAAGGCAGACCTTACAGAATAGCTAGGGCAGTCAGCATGCCCTGTGACACAACAACTATCCAGCGATTTCTTTTTAGCAAGTGGCTGGGATTCAAAATTCAAAGTCTTAAAGTATATGGCATGACCTGAATTTGATCCTCTCCCTTGGATTAGAGCCTCTTCACGCTGTGTCTGTTGTCCTTTTCCCAGAAAAATACTCCCATTCCTGATTAGTGCATGGAATCTATGGTGTAGCACAAAAAGCAGCAACAAGGTTATATTCACTCTGGGCAAGCTCTCTGGGTGAAAGGCCTTTTGCTGGGGCCTAAGGGGTCTTTTGTCCCAAGTACTCCAGGAAGGGGACTGTTCTCTCCCAGTGAGCCACGGAGATCTCTACACCAAGCTATGTACACAAGAGCCAGCTTCCTTCCTCCCCAGGAGCAGACACCACAGCTCTGCTCTGGAGAAAGTCACACACTTTGAAAACCTCAGGATTTTAGCTCCAAATTATGTTTACAAAAAAACTTGCAGTAGTCAGTACTTACCACTCTCCTGTCCATGGTCTAGAAATGTTTTCCTCTTGTGTGAACCCAATTCCCCACCCACTCAACCCCTCTCTTGCTCTCCCTTTTGTCTATCCATGAAAGAGTTCCCTCCCTTTCACAGCACCATCATTTTACTCTCCCCCAATTCACTTTTTTTTTTTTTTTTGCACCTCACACCAGTCACACTGTCTCCCATTAACCTTGGGAATCCTTTTTCCAGTCTACAGATCAATTTCCTGGATGTTCAACATGATCTGACCTCAATATAGCTGTGTTTGAGAGATGAGGAAAGCCCAAGGTCTCCCTATTTCTCTGCCATCTTAACTCGTCCCTCAAACTTTAACTTATTCAAGAAAATACCTGTTGTACCCATGCTGGAGCCAGCCTCCTTTTCAGGGACTCCTTTGAGTCACATAGAGCAGGTTGGGCCTTCTATCAATTTTGGTACCTCGGCCCCCTTCCCATATCCCATAGAAACAGATGGTGTGGAACCAGAGGTGGTCCTATGAGGCTGTATTTCCCCTTTTTCTCTTTCGGTTAACAACACTGTTCTTACTGATGGGTCTACAGGAAGAGCAGAACCTACTCTGCCCTGAGCAGCATTTTACTCTGATGGAACAGACAGAACAGTCACCAGAACTCAGGCAGAGCCACACAAAGGCAAAACTAAAAGTGCCTGAGTACAGTTCTAGATGCTGGGTACAGACCTAGAAACAGTTCTAAATATAGTACTGGATGGAGATAAAAGCTGTTTGTCAAGGAAGTCTCCCAGAGGAAAGTTTTAAAGGAGTAGCATAGTGTTAGCCTGAAAGGAAGGATAATTTACTGTACCAAAGAAATGTGTAAGGCTCAATTCTATTTAACATAAATTTATTATATACTCCTTGTGTGTCTGGCACCCAGCTGAGTGCTCTGGAGTGAGCAACATACTCCTAACCTATGATCTGCAATCAGGGAATAAAATAAAGAAAATAAAGACACACAGATAACTATGGTATATTATTTTTTTAATTTCCATTTTAATTGAAGTAAAATTGACATATAAAATTTAAGATGTTTAAAGTGTACATTGTGGTGATTTGATAGACATATACACTGTGAAATGATTCACTAAGAGTTCCCCACTGTGAAAGGATTAATGATGTCATTTTAATCTGATTGTTTCATTAAATGAAGATAAGTGTTCAAACTGCACCTTTGTTGCCATTACTTCATCTTTACATGTGGAGGAGCTTCAGCTGGAGCTTTGATTTTCTGTTTGTGGTCCCTGGACCAGCTGTATCAACAACAGCTGGGAATTTGTTATCAGTACAAGTTCTGCATGCCCCCCCCCCCCGGCCTACTGAATTCCAAATACTGGGCACAAGATCCAGCAATCTGTGTTTTCACAAACTTTACAGGTGAGGTGGCAGTTCCTGAAGTGAGCACCACTGAACAGAGTAATATTCCTGACTTCTCTCATTGTGACTTTGATTGGTGAGTTGAAGAGACAGCAATGAGCATGTCTAACTCAGCCCCTTCCAGTTTTAGTTGATTTTCTTTTCTTATCTAGGACCATCTTGCCCAAAGGACACATGCATTCCAACCTGAAATACAAGTAAATCTAATAAAAGAAAAATCTCTCCTGCAGTGGTAGTCGGGGGTGCTCAGCACTACTTGTGATGAGGTGTAAGTCTGTCTAACTTAGTGAGGCAGGATTAACAAGGCAATCAGGTTTCAGATCTAAAGCTGACAGTTTAATCATCTATCTGTATATCTTGATTATCAATTGCTTCTGAACATGGGAGGAGGAAATGGAGTGTTATTTATTGTACCTCTACAGCTCCAACACTAAGTTGTAATGTAAGTGGGCATGTTTCCTGTTCACACTTCATGCAGTAAAGAGATCTGATTCAGAGAATCACAGAACAGAAGAACCAGAGGAAATCCTAGAAATTTTTAGGTAAAGGGAACTTTAGAAATGATCAGTTGTTAAGACCTGGTTTTTTGAAGGAACTAACAAAATTGATAACCCCCTAGCCAGATTTACCAAAAAGGACCCAAAAAATAAAATCACAAATAAAAGAGGAGAGATAACAACAATGCAGATATACAGAAATACTAAGAGAATATTATGAGTAATTATATGCCAAAAAATTAGGCAATCTGAAAGAAATGGATAAATGCCTAGAAATATAAACTACAAAACTGAAATAGAAAGAAATAGAAAATTTGAACAGACATGTAACCAGTAAAGAAATTGAATCAGTAATCAAAATTCTTCCAAGAAATAAGAGACCAAGGCCAAAGGGCTTCCTAGGGGAATTCTATGAAATATTTATAGAAGAGTTAACACCTATTATTTTGAAGATGTTTAAAAAAATAGAAATAGGGAGAAAATGTAAACCCATTCTATGAGGCCAGCATTATGTTGATTGCAAAACCGACAAAGATCCCACTAAAAAGGTGAATTACAGACCAATTTCCCTGATGAATATGGATGCAAAAATTCTTAACAAGACACTAGCAAATTGATTCCAATAATGCATTAAAAGCATTATTCACCATGAGCAAGTGGGGTTTATTCCTGGGCTGCAAGGTGTGTTTCAATATCTGCAAATCAATCAACAGATATACTACATTAATAAAGAAAAGACAAGAACCATATGATTTTCTAAACAAATGCAGAAAAAGCATATGGCAAAATACAGCATGCTTTCTTGATAGAAACCCTCAAAAAAGTTGGAATAAAAGGAACATTCCTCAACATCATAGAGGACATATATGACAGAACCACTGCTAATATCCTCAGTGGGGAAAAACTGAGAGTTTTCCCCCTAAGTCAAAAACATGACAAGGAGGTCCACTCTCACTACTGTTGTTAAACATAGTACTGGAAAGTCCCAGCCTCAGCAATCAGATAACAGAAAGAAATAAAGGGCATACAAATTGGCAAAGAAGTCAAACTTTCACTTGTTGCAGATGACATGATACTCTCCATGGAAAATCCAAAATACTCCCCCCCCACACACACAAACCTGTTAGGACTCATATGTGAATTAAGCAAAATTGCAGGATATAAAATTATGCCCCAAATTTAAGCGGGATTAAGCAACCAGGCTTTGTTGAATTCCATAGGCAAAGTAGGTAGCAAACCCAATCAGCATCCAGATACTAACTGGGGTCCAGATGCCAGTTGTCATCTGCATCATAAAGCAGACATTCACAAAGATGCTCAGTACTGGGAGGATGGGCAGAGCAGGAACCTTAAAATAAAGGGGACTGGATCTCTGTGGCTGTCTCCAGATGATCCCAGTGAGCCCTGTGATGAGCACCAGGAGCATCACAACCACTGAAATCCACACTGGGTCTCCAGAAAACAGAACTGGCCACTGAATCAGCACCAGGCAAAGAAGAATGAGCAGCAGAACAAGCAGTGAGGAGCAAACATAGACAACTCTGCCAGAGAGTGGAGTGGGAGTGGAGCTGCCTGGAAAAAGTAGCTTCCGTAGAGTCAGCTTCTGTGCTGCAGGTCCATTATCCTCCTGCATCTCTGCTTCATTTCCCCCTTTCTTCACCTCAGGCTGATACCTGAGGATGAGAACACAAAGAGCAACCAAAGAGTAAGATATCAGGGACCCAACTGACCTGAGGTCCAAGAGATCAGTGAGTTTAAAGAAGAATATCATCATGGCTGCAACAATTCCAAAGACCACAGCAGCCATGATGGGGGTGTATGTGCCAGTATGGATCCAGGCAAGGACAGGGAACAGGAGGCCATGCATTGCCATCTTGTATATCACCTGATTAATGGGTAACATAAAGCCCAAGATGAGTGCAGAAAGACTACAGAAAAATCCAAAAGTAACGACATAGTAGGCAGGGGCCCAGCCAATATGGAGAAATGTCTCAGGCAGGGTGTTCCCGGGTTGAAGTTTGTAGTAAGGCATCATAAGTGTAAGTGACGCAGAGACACCAAAGTAAACCAAAAAGCAGATGAACAGTGAAACCACAATGCTCATGGGGATGGAACGCTGGGGATTCTGGACTTCTTTAGCTCTGGTCACAATATTGTCAAAACCAATAAATGCATAGAAACAGGTAGCTGCTCCACGGAGAATACCTTCAAAGCCAAAAGGCACAAATCCTCCAGAGCCCAGGGGACCCAAGCTAGAGGTCTCATTGAGTCCAGCCTTTATGTAGTCCTCTTCTGTGAGCTTCCAGTTGTGCAGGTCCCCCTTAATGAAGCCAGAGATGATGACAAAACTTAGAATCAAAAGTTTCACCACAGTGACTACTCTGCTAACCAGGAGGAAGTGACTTTTTCTCAGAATAGGCAATTCCATGAGGAACAACACAAGGCCCACAACAAAGAAGTCTAGATATTCTGTAAGGACACGGGAAACATGTGGTGCAATACTCTCATGCAGGGCCTGAGAGAACTGGTTCTCACGCAGGTAATTAAAAGCTAAGTGCCATGTCCACACCACCATGGCTGTATCAGCAACATAGGAGATGATGAGGCTCCAGGCAGTGATGAAAGCCCAGATTTCACCTATAGTGACATAGCTGTAGAGATATGCAGTGCCATAATGGGGAATCCGGGCACTAATCTCTGCATAGCACAACCCAGCCAGTATAGAAGATAGGCCAGCCACCAAAAAGCAGATCACAAAAGATGGTCCTGCTTGATTGCTAGCCACCTCACCAGCCAGGACATACACACCTGCACCCAACATTTGGTCTATGCTCAGCACCACTAAATCCAGAGTGCTCAGGCTTATGGCAGTGTCCGTCTCAGCCTCCTGATGCTCCATTGGAAGTCTGCGAACCAGTTTTTGACCAAATCTGCGAAATGTCTGACATAGCATTGTAGCTGGAATTGAAGAGGATTCTAGGATCAGAGAGCTGTAGCAAGCACAGGAAGCCTGGAGTCTGGGATTCAGTCTGGTGAGGCCGAGTTAAGTTGAACTGGTTGGGGCTCCCAAATTCTGTTGCTCAGGTTTCAAATCTGCTGCTTCATATTTCATCTGCTTTATGCTTCCCTCCATAATGCCTAAGTAAATAACAAATATTTACTGAACAATGGTGTTCTACCAACCAACCAAACCTCAGAAGTCCCATGTCACCTGTTCCAGCCCAGAAACCTACACCAAAAGACATCATAAAAAAACCAACCTTGCTTCTCCACCCCCCCAAAAAAGTAACAAATATCTCCAAATATTTTTCTTTTTTACATATTGAATGATATATTTCCACTTGGGTTCATCTAAGTCATGTAGCTTCATGTACTAATTAAGCTTCATGTACTAATACAAAAGAGCATAAATGTATTCTGCAATAATTTACACACCGGATGGTTGCATGATGCTTGAGCATGAGTTATGCACATTAATTCACAGAATAAAGGGCCTCATTGCATTACAGAACCATTTTTTAAATAATCGTCTGAGTTTAAAATACTAACATTGGTCCTCCAGTCTTAAAACTCTTAACCCCAAAATCAGCTAGCCAAGTTTAGAGGTCACTTTGGTCTCCTTTTTCATCATTCTGCATCATCCATTAAGCTGCACTAATGCCAAAGAATGTACAGTTCAACCCTTCACTTTAGCCACCTAGGTTCACAGAGGAGCTGTGAAAAGAGGAAGAGGAAGAAGAAAAGGATAGGACTTCATAACTACCTGTAAGAACCAGAGGAACAGGCTGTCTGATGAGGGAACACTGGAGAAATGGGTGCAGCAGCCAACCAAGGGTCCATTACTAAGAAAGGAGCAGAGCCAGAAAAACTGTTTTGTGAATTGTGAAATTCAATAATACCCATCCAAAGCAACCAGAAAAAAATTAACTATAGTTATATCCACAGTTAAGAGAGTATGATGGGTAGGGAGGAATGAAATAAGTCACCTAGCTCAGTAGCTCACAATCAAAACAATTACTTTTGTCTCCTCCCTCTCTAGGTTCCAGGAGAGAAGGAGAGCTGACTTCTGCAGACAGTTTCCTCTCTGGCCACAAGATGCTCTATAAACACCCTGAGCCACTTCTGATGTCAGCTCCCAATGCCTTGAAGAATCTGCCCTGCTCTGTGAACTTTATTTAAACACTCACTTGTAGGGGTGCCTGGGTGGCTCAGTCAGTTAAGCGTCTGACTTTGGCTCAGGACATGATCTCATGGTTTGTGGGTTCAAGCCCCACATCGGGTTCTGTGCTGACAGCTAGCTCAGAGCCTGGAGCCTACTTCAGATTCTCTCTCTCTCTCTGACCCTTCCCTGCTCATGCTGTCTGTCTGTCTGTCTGTCTCTTTCTCTCTCTCTCTCTCAGAAATAAATAAAACATATCCAAAAAAACCCAGTCACTTGTAACTCCCTATTGATTTTTCACAAGGAGTTGTTTTTAAGTCACCCAAACCACTCTCTGAATGTGTCAAATATATTTTCTTAATGAATAAACCCAGCAAGTGGTTCTTCTTTTCTTCTGCTCCCTGCTGCTATATTCAAATGGTCTTCTCCTCAAGGAGAGCAAGATTTTGGGGCACAGAAATGCCCCAGAAATAAGTAGTGGAGAACAGAGGGAAAAAAAGTCATATAGCCCCCATTCTCCTCCAACTCAGGCTCTGGTTTTGAGAGAAATTTAGGAAATGTTGTAAGAGGTTTGTAAATACAGAGATATCAAGTCAAAATTGAAAATACTTCTCTATATGTTACCAAAAATCTTCTCTATAGGTTGGGTTGTGAGTCGCACCTTCTGTCTACAAATCCATCTAGACTCTTTATTTGCCACTCACCATTTCCAATGATATGAATTGCTAACAAGCATGTGGAATAAAGATGGTCAATAGATAAAGATGGTTAAGAACTGGAACCTTTCTATATTATAAATATGATTGATGTGTCCCCCCACCCCACACACACACCCAGGCTTCAAACCCTTCAGTGGTTCCCACTGCCCTTCTGCCTAGTTTTTCCTTCCTTCATCATCTGACCTGTGCTGATTCCTCCAGCCTCATCCCCTGCCCATTCCTGTTCCAGCTGTGGAGTTCTACAGTCACCATGTTCCCCTACCTCTAACGCCCTCCTTCCTATCACTTAGCTACCACCTCCCACTTGTCTCTTAATTCCCAGCTCAGAGGTTGCTTCCCCAGGAACCTCCCCTGACTTATGCTGCCCTTCCTGTGTGCTCTCATAGCACCCAGACTTCCCCATGTGCCACTTATCCTAATGTATCAGAATTCCTGTTCAGCTGCCTGTGTCCTCTATCAGACTGCTCAATAAATATTTGTTGAGCAGTGCACAAAATAAGAAGAGAAACCAGAAAAAGCACATTAACCAGAATTCCTATCTATTAACTTGAGATACATACTGTGTAGTCAAGCAACCTTTATAAACCTGGTTCAGGTAAAGATATAAATGGAATTACCTTGCTTGTGGAAGGCAAGCATAATGAAAAGTGTGAGGGGAAAGCCAGCTATGATAACAATTTGACCACACATCATCCAAGACAGGTATTGGCCAATGGTTTGCCTTTGAGGACATATGTTTTAAAACTATCAGGATGCGTGGAATCATAGGCAACCAACCACCCATGGCCAGTTATAAACTCCTTACATTTGGAAAGGCATTGTGCTCAGGCCCTATACTCTAGGTGAGAGGTCCTAAGGCAGAGGTTCTTACTGTGGTGGACAGAGAGAGGCATAATGAGGAGACCTGGGGACATTTTCAAACTGCATATCCTCTCCCTCTGGAGATTCTTGTCGAAATAGCCCTGTACTTCCCATGGCTGCTCTAAACCACCTAAAATAACAAGAAATTATCTTCAATATCAAAGCAAAGACATTGTAAAAACTTTCTTCACAAGAAGGCAGCACAGTTTAGTAGTTGGGAATAAGGCTCTACAGGTAGACTGTTCAGGTTCAAATTGCAACTCAGCCTCATACCTGGTAACTCTGGACAAATTAGTTCATGTATTGAGATTTAGTTTCCACTACAGTCAAATGGATAAAGTAAATACGTTATAGGGTTGTTGTAAGGAGTAAGTGAAGTGATGCCTATAAAGTATTTACTTAGATCAGTGCCTAGTAAAAAATATGTACTTCATATAATCTACCTAATACTTAGTATTGAAATCAGATCCAGAGTACCCAAAATCATCCACTAAAACTTGAGCCCTTTAGCTAGTCCACATGAGAAAATAAAATAAGTTTTGTTCCATATATTTTACCTTGAAACTCTAAGGACTCTAATTAAACACTCTCATATATGCTGGTGCTAATCACTTGGGAGTCCTAAGCATACTGAGTTAGACCAGGCATTGAAAATGTAAGGCTTAAATATAATAATAATAATAATAATAATAATATAATATATTTGCCTATGGATGACTCATATTATTTCTGGAAACTGTATCAAGAACTTTGGATTTGAGCTGTGGCTTTTCCACTTGGTTACATAAGCTAGGGTAATTAGATTAATCTCCCTAAGCATCAGTCCATAAGGAACATTACTTTATTTCCCTTACTGGATCAACATAATCCATTAGAGGATACAAACTATCATGCACTGCTGGTGGAAGTGGGTAAATGGGGCCACCATCCTGAAGCACAATCTTAGTGAAATTAAGAATGCACACATTCTCCCACCCCACAATCCCTCTCTGAGGTAAACACCCCAAGGCAACTCTCTCCTGAGTCCATAAGGAGGCCCATATGAGCATGTACATCACAGGACTGTTTGTGGAAGCAGGAAGTTGGAAGCTATGTCAGAGTCTGTTGCTGGAGGAATATATAAGTAAAATGTGCATACACACATAATGAAATATTATACAGTAGTCACAAATAATAAAGTAGATTTATAGACACCAACTTGGGGGAGATCTCAGAAAAAATGTTAAGTAGAAAAAGTATAAGCAGGATGAGTTGTATAGCACAGTGCCATTTATGTACATTTAAAAAACAGCCAAAATGCCCCCAATAAAAAGACATAGGGTGGCAGAATGGATAAAAAAACAAAATTCATCTATTTGCTTTCTACAAGAAACTCATTTTAGATTGGAGGACATCTTCAGATTAAAAGTAAGGGGGTGCAGAAATATCTATCATGCTACTGGAAGTGAGAAGAAAACTGTAGTAGCTACACTTATAGCAGACAAATTGGACCTTAAAATACTGACAGTAAAAAGGGATGAAGAAGGGCATTATATAATAATTACAGGGTCTACCCATCAGGAAGAGTTAACAATTATAAATTTCTACGCACCAAATATGGAAGCACCTAAATATACAAAACAATTAATCACAAACAGAAACAATCTTATGGATAAGAATGTGCTGATAGCAGTGGACTTTAATACTCCACTGACAGCAATGGATAGATCAACTAGACAGAAAATCACTAAAGAAACAATGGGCTTGAATGACACATTGGACCAGATGGATCTCACAGATATATTTAGAACTCTACATCCTGAGGCCAAGGAATTCAGTTTCTTCTCAAGTGCGCATGGCACATTCTTCAAGATAGATCACATACTGGGACATAAAGCAGCCCTCAATAAATATAAAAGAATTAGGATCATACTACACACACTTTCAGATCACTATGGTATGAAACTCGAAATCAACCACAGGAAGAAGCCTGGAAAACCTCCAAAAACATGTAGGCTAAAGAACACCCAATTAAAGAACGAAAGGGCCAATCAGGCAATAGAGAAGAAATTTTAAAATATATGGAAATAAATGAAAATGAAAATACAACAATACAAACTCTATGGGATGTGGCAAAGGCAGTCCTAAGAGGAAAGTGCATTGCACTCCAGGCCTATTTCAAGAAATTAGAAAAAGCGCGAGTGCAAAATCTAACAGCACATCTAAAGGAACTAG